ATAGATCCTCTTCCAAGTGGTTGACAGTGGTAGCCGGGCACCATCTAGTTCTTCTGGTCTCATAGTTGTCTAGGCTGCAGATTGGATGGTGTACCAGTCGCTAGGACTAATTGTTTCCATGAATTTTTGGTTTTCTTCATTCTTCTTGGCTCTGGACAAGGAGAGACCCATCGTTGCATCTAGATGGCAGCTTGTATGCTTTTAAGATTCCAGTCACTACTCGCCACAGTTGGAGGTGGAACAATGTTTTGTGTAGTATGTTTTGCCAATTGAGCCTGGCTGCACTTCTTCCAACATAGATTTGTTCATTCTTCTGGCAGTTTATGGTAGTTAAATTTTGTGTCAACTTGGCTGGGCCTGGTTTGGAGTAGCTGGCCAGCTGGATGTAGTTATTCTCCATGATGAGACTGGTAATCAACTCCACGGTGGAACCTACTGGAGCAGCTGAGTAGCTGCCTTAGGGATGTGCTCTGCTTCCAGTGTAGAAGAAGACAGCTTTGAGAAAGGTCTCTGAGCTTTTTGGCATGTGGACCTCACATGTAGCCGCATCTTCATCTCAGTGGCCTGGCATGTTGTCTGCCGGTCTTGAAACTGTTAATGGTCTTGAATTAATGGGCTGCCATGTTGCTTGCTAATCTTGAGACTGTGCCATTTTACTTGTTGACCTTTGGGTTTGTCAAACTCAGCAACCAGCAGCTGTCTGAACTAAGAGATGCCTCCAGCTTCAGTGGGCCAGGAGCAAGAGGCAGAGCTGAAACCCAAGGTCGAGGGGCTTTCACCCGGCCTGTAGAGCTGGCACTGTGAACTCAGGCATCTAGCTTCCTAAACTGTAAGAGAATAAATTTCAGTTTGTTAAAGCCCACCCATTTGTGGTATTTCTATTAGAATGACACTGGAGAACCAAAACACAGTCCATGGTATATTCAGTATTCTTCACCAACACCACATTTCAAGTGCATCAATTCTTCTCCAGTCTTCTTTATTCATTGTCCAGCTTTTACATGCATATGAGGTGATAGAAAATGTCATGGCGTGGGTTAGGTGCACTTTAGTTTTCAAAGTGACATTGTTGCTTTTTTAACACTTTTGAGACATCTTTTCCAGCATCCTTTTGCACAATGTAATATGTCATGATTGCTGCTTTCATGGGTGATGATTGTAAACCCAAGTAAAATGAAACCCTTGACAACTTCAATCTTTTCTCCATTTATTATAATGTTGCTTATTGGTCCAGTTGTGAGGATTTTGGTTTTCTTTATGTTGAGATGCAATCCATACTGAAGGCTGTAGTTTTTGATCTTCATCAGTAAATGCTTCAAGTCCTCTTCACTTTCAGCAAACGAAGTTGTGTTATGTGCATATTGCCGGTTGTTAATGAGTCTTTCTTCCATCTTGGTGCTGTGTTCTTTTTCATACAGTACAGATCCTTGGATTATTTGCTCAGCATACAGATGGAATAAGTATGGTGGAAGGATCCAACCATGATGCACAATTTTCCTGACTTCAAAGTACACAATAGCCCTTGTTTTGTTCAAGTAACTGCTTCATGGTTCCTCATGAATGCAATTAAGTGTTCTGGAATTCCTAATCTTCTCAATGTTATCCATAATATGTTATGACCCACACAGTCGAATGCCTTTGTATAGTCAATAAAACACAGATAAACATCTTTCTGGTATTCTCTGCTTTCAGCCAAGATCCATCTGACATCAGCAATGATATCCCTCATTCTTCTGAAACCAGCTTGCATTGCTGGCAGTTCCCTGTCAATGTACTATTGAGATCATTTTTTAATTATCTTCAGCAAAAGTTGACTTGGGTGTGATATTAATGATATTGTTTGATAATTTCTGCATTCTGTTGCATCACCTCTCTTTAGAATGGGCACAAATATGGATCTCTTCCTGTCAGTTGGCCAGGTAGTTGTCCAAATTTCTTGGCATAAACAAGTGAGATATTCCAGCATTGCATTCATTTGTTGAACGAATTGATGGCTATTCCATCAATTCCTGGAGCTTTGTTTTTGGCCAGTTCCTTCAGTGAAGTTTGGACTTCTTCCTTCAATACAATTGGTTCTTGATCATATGCCACCTCCCGAAATAGATGAACATCAACCAATTCTTTTTGGTACAGTGACACTCTGTATTCTTTCCATTTTCTTTTGATGCTTTCTGCATCGTTCAGTGTGTTGCCCATAGAATCCTTCAATATTGCAACTCAAGGCTTAAATTTTTTCTTCAGCTCTTTCAGCTTGAGAAATGCTGAGCGTGTTTCCCTTTTGGTTTTCTAATTCCAGGTCTTTGCACTTCATTATAATACTTTACTTTGGCTTCTTAAACTGCCCTTTGAAATCTTCTGTTTGGCTCTTTTCCTTCATCATTTCTTCCATTTGCTTTAGCTACCCTCCATTCAAGAGCAAGTTTCAGAGTGTTTTCTGACATCCATTTTGGCCTTTTCCTTCTTCCCTATCTTTTTAATGACCTTTTGCTTTCTTCACAGCAAGATGCAAGCGACCACAGTATAACAAACTGATGAGTGGTAGGTCAGTTCTTAGGACCTTGTTTTTCGCTAGTTCCTTCAGTGCAGCTTGGACTTCTTCCTTCAGTATCATTGGTTCTTGATCATATTCTACGTCCTGAACTGGTGGAACATCACCCAGCTCTTTTTGGTGCAGTGACTCTGTGTATTCCTTCCATCTTCTTTTGATGCTTCCTTCATTGTTTAGTATTTTGCTCATAGAATTCTTCAGTATTGCAGCTCAGTAAGGTGCCCCTTAACCTTTCCATTAATTTCTTTTCTTCTTTTTGTTTCATTTCCTTCTCCTCTTGGTTCCTGATCACCATTAGTCCACTTTCTATCACTATTTACCTGTTCTAGATAGCTCATATAAGTGAGATCATGCAACGTTTATCATTTTGTGTCTGACTTTTTTCACTTAGCATAACATTTCAAGGTTCTTCCATTTCATAGCATGTATCAGAACTTCATTCCTTTTATGGGTAATATTCCTTTGTATGGATGGACAACATTTTGTTTATCCATTCATCTGTTGATGGACACTTGGGTTGTTTCCACCTTTTATAGTGTATGTACTTAGATACACTAATGTATAAGTATCTGTTTGAATCCCTGCTTTCTATTCTTTGGGGTGCATCCCTAGGAGTGGAATTGCTGAGTCAGGTGGTAACTCCATGTATAACTCCTTGAGAAGCCTCTTTTCTTCTTAGCTCAGCCAGAGTCAGTGTCTGTCACTTCCAGCCAAGATCCCCAACCCTTATATCCTTCTGTCATCCAGTGAGGGGTGCTGGACAAACAGTGGGGCTCCTGGGTCTGAAACATAGATGTTTTATCCTAGACTCTTGTTGTGTTGTTGGATGTCATTGAGTAAATTCCAACTCATAAGATACCCCATGTGACAAGTAGAACTCCCCTATAGGGTTTCTTCTGACACTGAACTGACTGCCATTGAGTCAGATCCAACTCATAGCGACCCCTCCTTGGGTTTCCAAGGCAGTATCACTATGGAAGTAGATTTCCCAACCTTCCTTCTGAGGAGTGGCTGGTGGGTTAGGCTGTAATACTTACAGGAGCAGATGGAGGAGCTGCTGAGTGGGTTAGCAGCCAAGTGCATAACAATTGTGGCCTCAAGGATGTTTCTGATGGTCCCAGACCTGTAGGGGCTGTCAGATGAGGTCTGGTACTGGTTTACACCGCACACACTCTCATCCCTCCTCCCTCTGCAGGATGAGCTCAGGGCTCCCCATGCACTGGGGCAGATGGCACCCTTGTAGGCCTGGATCTTGCAGCTCTGCAGCCCCAGGACATCTGCAGAACAGGAATAAGAGGCCACAATCCCGGGGTCCAGGGGCCCAGGGGCCTAGGGTGCATCTAGGTATGTGCCTGGCAGTGGTATCTGCAGAAAAAGCTCAGTTGTCAAGCTTAACGTGTTTGGGGGTCACAGCACATGCTTCTGATGTCCACCTCCAGGTGACAGTGAGCAACCCCCACTCCCTGGGACTGCAGGTGACCATTCAGGAGAGTGGCTGCACTTTAGATGGGAACATCGAGTACGAACTGGTGAGCCACACTGCCCCCTGCTCCCCTGACCCTCCTCCCTGGCCCCCTTCCCTCCACCCTGCCTGGTCCCCCTGCCTCCTTGCCTCCCCCTGCCGCTCCCCCCCAGCACACTGCCTGAGCCTAGCCCTGCCAAGGCCATGCATGGCCTTCCCCACCCAGAAGGTCCCTGGCCCCTCCTTCCTTCCCTCTAAGTCAGCATTAAGGCCCTGGGGGATCTGGAGGAGACGCAGTCCCTCCTACCATGCAGTCGGCGCACTGGGAAGTTGTGTGCTATGGGGCCGAGTCCAGCTCAGAGGGATCCATGCGGTGGAGTAGAACTGCCCCATAGGCTTTCCTAGGCTGTAATCTTTACAGGAGCAGATCGCCAGGTCTTTTTTTTTAAACTGAGCTACTGGTTGGGTTCGAACCACTGATCTTTTGGTGGTAGCCCGAGCGCTTAACCATTGCACCACCAGGGCTCCCAATGGAAAGGCAGACCTGAAATAAACCATCATCCAGAGATGTGATGTCATGAAAGCATTGCACAGGAGAGAGACAGACACAGGTGTACGGCCCAGCCCCGGGAGTGTGAGAGCTGAGCTCGCTGGGGAAACTGAGGGGACCCAAGAGGAGGAGATGGGGGTGTGAGGTGCGGGAGAGGCTTGGCCAGAGACGGGCCGGGGGGACTTGTGGGGCCAAGTGGGTGTGCTCTTGATCCTGGTGAGGAGCACTGTGTAGCCGTATGCCCAGGAGGGACCTCGGCAAGGCAGGATGGACCACAGCCAACGCTTGCCAGAGATCTCGGCACAGAACAGATGAGAGAGAAACATACAAATAAAAGAGAGAAAAAAAAAACAAAGCCACACCTGATGGTGGGACCCGGCATGAGATGTGAAAACCCTCCACTTGAAGCCACTCCCACAGAATGTCCTCACTAGGGGGCGGGATTAGAAGCAGAGGCAGGCTGCTTGCTCTGGGCTCCGCCTACCCCTCGCCCCATGTCTCCCCCACCCCCACCCGACTGCGTGCACTGCTGCCCTGAGGTGCTGCGTTTTCTCCCTCCACCCACAGACCATCTACCTGAAGCAACAGCATCTCTTTGGCAGGGCTGACTCCAACTTCACCTCCAGGTACGTCGTGGCCTTGATGGTTTGATGGTGGTGGTTACCGTGGTTGTCACTTTGCCATCTATAAAACAAAGGAAGAAGGGCGGGGCAAGATGGCGGACTAGGCAGAAGGATTGCACAGACCCTCTTCAACTAAGAAAAGGGAAACCAATTAACACAGACACAGAAGATAATCTTGGACCCCTGAGCCTTGAAGGAAAGGATGCAGATTTGGACTAAACCCCAACTAG